CCCCTGCATTTCTGGCTCCAGCAGGAACCACCGTGTCTCACGGATGTGCGGATTTCCCTAGCAGTCAGTGACTGAAGTAAAACGCCGTCCCCTCGGGTCCTGAGCAGAGCTCCGGGGTGAGCTTTGTGGAGCCAGGCCCAGGGAGGGTTCCGGAGCCTTTGGCAAGCAGCCTCCTACATGTTAGAAGTGACTAAATCTGTCACTGCTGAAGTAATGGAAAAGCTAGTCGTTACAGAGCAGAACTGCTGCCCTCTGCAAGGGGCAGCAACTACGAGCTGCTGCGTCGCTTATCTGAAATCTCAGCATTTAGAACAGCTCTGGTTTTGTCGCTTTTGAACTGAAAATACAAGAAAACCGGTTTATTTTATTGGCCCACCGGAAATTTTTGATTCTCCCTTGTTTACATTTTGCCACGAGGAGATACGAGGAGTGTTTGGGTAAATGCCAAAAACACATGTAGCATTATTTTTGTTTCATCTTCAGTACCTACAATCTTTTCCTAGAGGGATACTCATCTACACCAAAAATGGGGAACATTTCAAATGTTAATTTCTGCTTCAATTTCACAGCTATAAAGTACAGATAAAATTATTCACCAAGGAACTGACTAAATTTGAAAATGCAGGCTACATGAAGCAATATTATTGACTTACTGTGTTTTACTGCTGTGAATATTCTTGGAAAGGATTCTTCCATTCTCCACAGGAAAGAAACATTTTGTAAAAGATGTCCATAGAAATTAGCAGGTAATTACTGTTAAAGTTTGCATTGTGCAAATTATGAAAGACCATTGGGATAAGAGGTCAACATGGACATAACACATTTTAAAATCCAAGTATGTTTTGTCTCTACAGATAAAACTAATCAGTTGTCATCTATTAAAAAAGCAATGGAAAAATAACCAGGAGTACATTACATAAAACCACAGAACCACAGACTGGTTTGGGTTGGGAGGGACCTTAAACCCACCCAGTGCCACCCCCTGCCCCGGGCAGGGCCACCTTCCCCCAGCCCAGGTTGCCCAAAGCCCCGTCCAACCTGGCCTTGAGCCTTCCAGGGAGGGGGCAGCCACAGCTGCTCTGGGCAGCCTGTGCCAGGGCCTCAGCACCTCACAGGGAGGGATTTCTGCCTTACAGCTAATCTGTATCTGCCCTCTTTCCATTTAAACTGTTCCCCTCGTCCTATCCCTCCCCCTGATGACAAGTCGTGTCCCCCCCCTCTTTCCCGCAGCCCCTTTCAGCCCTGGGGGGCCGCTCTAAGGTCTCCCCGCAGCCTTCTCTCCTCCAGCTGAACCCCCCAACTCTCCCAGCCTGTCCTCACAGGGGGGCTCCAGCCCCCCCAGCATCTCCGTGGCCTCCTCTGGCCCCGCTCCAGCAGGTCCGTGTCCTTCTGCTGTTGGTGCCCCAGAGCTGGACCCAGCCCTGCAGGGGGGTCTCCCAGAGCGGAGCAGAGGGGACAATCCCCCCCCGGCCCTGTGCCCCCCCTGCTCTGGGTGCAGCCCAGCACACGGGGCCTTTCTGGGCTGCCAGCGCACGGTGCTGGCTCGCAGGCAGTTTGCACCCCCCGACCCCCCGAGTCCTTCTCCTGGGGGCTGCTCTCCAGCCCCTCCTTGCCCAGCCTGGGTTTGTGCCGGGGATTGCCCCGACCCGTGGGCAGGACCTTGCCCTTGGCCTTGCACATGAATTTAGCTAACATCAAGCCTCCTTTCAGCTTAGCACATGCAAATTGAGAATGAAAATTCATGTGAACACCTGCATGTCCAAACTGATAGTGAGCTTCAGGTTCTCTTTCAGTGCTGAGTCTCGTGAAAAATACAGTGAGCACTGCAAGGTGATGCAGGCTCCAGGGAGGTTGATATCCATCCTCAACATCTACAGCTTCCCAAATTCAGATGATGGTGCTGGTTTCTGGGGTACTGAGCCAGTACGCTGCCAGGAACTGCAAGGCCTTACAACCAATAGAGGGGAAAGCCACCACTGCTCTGCTCTTCTGTGCTTTCCTGGGCCAAAATGCAGAATTATGCAACTTCTCCTGGAGATATCCATGCCAGATAAGCATTTTCCCCCGGTTATTTGCTATGCACTATAATAAAAATGATACTTTTTACTTGAATGGGGACATATGGATGTGAATTGAAATTAAGGACATTTTTGAGCAGAGGTAATATCTCCTATTAAGCTCACATATATACATTAAAAAATCAGAAAAGCCTCCCAGGTGCTGTGGCCCTGTTTCAGGTGACTAAAAGCTTTAGTAGTTTTTCCCACTACAGTGGCCTAATCAAAGGGTATTGCCTTTGCCTGTAATTTCTGTGCTGTCTGGGTCCTAAATCAACCACAGCCTCAGCAAAAGTTCACCGTAATCTGAAGAGTTAAATTAATTGTAACTTTTTTAAAAAAAAAAAAAACAAAAAAACACACATTTTACTGTAACTTTCATGTAGGATAATTGTTTCTGCAGTAGTTTTTCCTTCATAAGCCTTGGCTTTCTAACTATTACAGTTTGCAACAACAAACAACGCTTCTCAAACATCTCTTCTTGGCCAAACAATCCCACTATTCCAGCATCGCAGCCAGTGCTGGTGAGGGAACTCTCTCTTCACCTCATGGAAGAAGAGTCAGTCATGGGCCGGTCAGGACATCTGCATCAATTTCCCAGCTTGTCTACACCGCCTGGACCCACTGTAGGACCGGCTCTCCCATGGCACTGCCTGCAAAGGGCAGCCTCCCCCTGCACATCCCCTCTCCCCACACACAACCAGAGGCCCAAGCAGCTCTACAGAAATTCCATTTCAATTCCCCACCCCCTGCTTATTCCGGTAACCTTCGAAAGCAGCTGCCAAGCCAAACGGGCAGAGCGATGTGACACCTGGGGATCGGTGAGTGCTGACTCTGACAGCCCCTGTTTGTACCATCAGCAGGGAACAATGTGAATTATTCCCCTTAATCACACAGGAAAGCACAGGTGTGAACTTCAGAGCTGATTTCATTCCAAAATGAAGCACCAGATGAGGAACTGTACAAGCTATTGAAAAAGGCTTGAACAGTGAAAGGTGGTTTAAAATGGTTTTCCTACCAACCAGATGTTTTTCCCTGCCTGGTGTGGTCTCCTATCCTGCCAAGACTGCTCTCACCAAAGTATGTGCTCCATGAACTTCTCAACCCTGATTTTATAACACCTTCTACATCAAAGGTGTCCTTTATTTCACAGGCAGAACTAAATTAAGTCAAGGGGACACTGCAGGACAAGGCACTAAATAAAGAAGGAAAACGTACAGCATCCAGCTAATATTGTCTAATTGAGGTTTGCGGTGCGGCTACATCAGATCAAGCCTCAATCTGCAGTTCAAACCACCGCAGTCGTAGCTTCCACCTGTCTTTCCTGAAAAGATGGCTCCATGAGAGGATAAACATAACTTGTTTATTCTGTTCAAGCTGCTTGTGAAAGCAGCTTACAGAGCCCAAACGTCTCGCAGAGTCATCATGAAAATTTTCAGTCCAAAGCACAAAATACATTTCTCTGTTCTTTGCCTGGCTGATCAATGATGGGGAAACAGATGGTGTTTGCTCATTTGTCAAAATATACTAAACCCCCCAAACTATCACCAACAAAACACTCCTCCTGGGTGACTTGGAGGGTTGATCTTAACGTCACTCTCATCAACACATCTCTCTGGGAAGCTCTAAGTACTCGGACGGTCACTTTTTGGTCTCTTGCCCACAACTTCTCATTCCTTCTGTCCCCTCATTGTTCCCTATGTGTCACCTCCATCTCGCTGACTTAAGCTAACCTCTCCTCATCTCCCTCCTTCTCCTGCTATTTGTCTCTGATTGCAGACAGCCACTTCCCAACTTTCCCCCAGCCCCAGCAGCATTCCCCAACGGCTCTCAGTCCCCCACCCTGCTTCAGCCTCCTTGCTCCCCAAAGTGCCTTTCGCTGCACTTCAAAGCTCAGACAAACAAAATTTTTTAAAGGTAACAACTTTAACACCCTGTTCTTTGCTGTCAAAAAAAAAAAAAAACCAAACCAAAAAACCCAAAGAAAAAAAGGAAACCTAACAGCCAGCCAACTCTTTTTCAAGCCAACTCCTTTGTTCACAGCCACCCGTGTTAATAACCCTCTGTTCCTTCTGCAACCATCGACAAGAAAATTGAGGAGAAAGACAACTAACTGACAAACTTTAGATATTAAATAAACACCTTCTCCCTGAGAATATGAACATGTTTAAAGTCAAACACCTGAAAAGCTTGCAGACAGTTATTATGCTTGAGAAGTACCGAAGAAAAGGGACTTATCTAAGCCTGGACACGCAGTTCCACTGATTTCATATGATTAACAGTAAACGTATGATTAAATACTTTGCTGGATTTTAGCCATAAAATTAAACTCTGTGGAAGCCTGAGCACACTTCCACTAATACGAATATGTTCATGAAACTTTCAAGGCTTTCTATTAATAACATTCTGCTAAATGTCATACAGGCAACAGCACATTACTCGTAATTGGTACTTTTGTAATCTGAACTGCATCTTTATTAACTTAAGTAATAGTAATTTTCTGTTAATGCAGTACTTAAAGCAATAAAAACACTATCTAAGCAATCACATGAAAGCAGCGCAGGTATATTTGAAGATCTTACTTTTCTTTTACATGATCCACATCTGTCAATAGGACAAGATACTCATCCTTAAATTTCACTGGAGGTGCAAGTAGCTGGGTGGGGAGGGAGGGAAGGGAAGGGATTCTCCACCCCTCTCTGCACCACACGAAAGGGCTGCATGCTCCAGGCCCCTCGAGTGTCACCTGCTTCACTCTCCTGCCCTGTGGCTGCAAGAGGAGGTGGTTATGTGTCCCTTGAAAAAACAAGCAAAAAACTCCCAGAGAACTGGTCAGTACATAACAGCATTTTCTAGCAGATGGAGGATGAATAGGGGAAGGGGGAGGAAAGTGTTTCCATGCTGTACTTCTTATAAAATAGAAAACTGAATCAAGTCAGGTCAGCAGCACTTTGGAGTTGCCACTTCTCCTTGTCAACCCTGGAAACAATGTCAGGAGGTTTGATCAGAGGTGGGCATCTAGATTTAAATGTGGTGAAATAAACTGATTGTGTGCTTTGTTTTTTACATTGATTGTCATCAATCCAGCACAGATATTTTCCTTTGATACCTCCCTATGCCTCACAACCATTGAATACCTTTATATGGACAACAGTGTTGACACAGACCTACTTACCCTTCACATTCCTCAAAAACAAGACAACCCACTGCATGCACAAGAGAAACTTACAGGTGAAGACCAGGTGACTTCAAACTGAGCCTGATTATGACCAGAGTTTGCCAACAGGCAACAAATCACCCAAAAATGCACCCCAAAGAATTGCAGCCATGCAAAAGGATGCGTTCGTGGGATATCTCTGCTCTCTGGACCCATGGGCAGGGCAGGGGAACCCACTGTGTCCCATCGCCCAGCCCAAGCACAGCTCTGAGGGGTTACTGGGGCAAAGCAGGTGTTATACAGTGAACACACGCACAGAAACCTAACTTTTGGCTCTAAACAGAAAGAACACTTTTTCAAAGGAATGTATAAAAACGCATTTACAATACATAAAAACAAACAAAATGAGCCACTATGTTACATATCAGGTTTTCATACCCAACAGCTATCCAAGAGAATATCCAAGAGAATCAGCAAGAACAAGCTACATGTGACAAATGCTTGACACATTATTTGATGAACTACCAAAAGGGTCTCAGTGAGGAGAAGGAAAATAAATCTTCTACAGACTCATGGTATCAATACACTGATAGGCATAATGAACATCACGAAAATATGCTCAAGTTTTGTACGTCTCTTTGTGGCACTTAAATATTCAGAGATAGCTTGCATGTCTATAAAGTTTAAAATTTCCATGTCATTTATGCTGAAGGCATTCTAAGTATAAACTGTTTATATAAACATAACCTTTACACCTGACCATTAACCTTAAACTATGTAATGTGTTTTATAAGCAGTGATATACTACATTCCCTCCTAAAAATTAAAACAATTCTAGCAAAATTTGAATATTTCTACAATATCAGATATTATGAAGCATCTGCTGGAAATAAGTCTTTTTGAAATGCAAGTGCAAAAACCAAAAATCATTGGCACCAGATCAGCCACATTTCTGACAGTGCAGTTTCTTAACTTGCTCCATTCTACGTGTTTCAGTGCTTTAACATAACATTAACACTAGAGTTTAATCTGGAGACAATCTTCACAGCCACAGTACATTTTTATTTCACAACAATGGTTCTTCAGTGGGGCATTCACCAGGATTCTGCTTTCTGGGCATGACTTACTCTGCTGCTTGTGAGTTGCTTTGTTTTTCCATAGCTAAACCACCGCTATTTTTGTACTTGTCAGCAAAATAATCAGAGTCAAAGCTTACAGACAAATCTGGAGGACTCACATAAACATTTCCATTGTCTATTGTGACTTTATGAATCCTTTGTTTGACTCCTTTTGATTGCCACTGTGGTGTTGGTGATGGTTCCAAAGGGTTTATTCCTTCATATAATCCTTCTCCTGTTTCCAAAGTAATTCTATACTTATGCCAAGGACAAATAATACATGCTTGACCATTGATATCCTGCAAGAAGAAGAAGAAGAAGAAGATAAAAACAGTAAGTCATTGTCTTCTGAATCTTCTCCTGGAAGAATCTCTAGGACAGGAGACATGTTTGGTGCTCTGGCTGTATGGCTGCCTGCTATTTTACATATATAACCATTTCTTTTGATGTTCTGTTCACATAAAAGTATTTTAAAAATGCAGTAGAGTTTTCACATGACTATATGCTGCTACATTATTTTTGTTTACCTACCTCTATTTCTCCAAGACATAAAGGACCTCCTTCATCTGAAACATGGTAGAACATAGCATTAGTTTATGCAGATTTCCTGCTTAACTGTTGCAACATTGAGATCATATGTGCAAATGTCTTACGGTAGCAGCGGGAGTCCATAGCATGAAATTTCCCCTCATGGTAGAAAACAACAACTTCTCTGCCGTTGACTTTGGCTGTTATTCTTTGGGACTTCTTTATGTCATCTTCTTTGCCAATTAATATAAGACCGTCTGGCTCCCTTTCAACAGTTTCTGTGTCTGAGCTGTGCAAATCCACATCCTTAAAACACAAAAAAAATCAAAAAGCCACTTATAAAGTAGTTGATGTTTGGATTTCTGTGTGTAGAACGGATGTCTTGATCCCAGAGAAAGCCCCGACCCGTTCAACATGTGAGGTGAAGGGACTAGAAGTTTTAATAAAAGACTATCAACGTGCACACGAGGTGAAGCACAGGAGTCTGGTGATAAGGTTTGGCTGACGTGTTCGCTAACAGAACCGGGGCTTGGAAAACCAGCTGCTGCAAACCTGATACCTGAGGCTGAGGCAAGATAAATCCTCAATCACTATTCATTTACTCTGCACTTTAAACGCCACCATCCCTCAGAATCTACATGCAAACAAATACAACGATGGGATATGTAAAACAGTGTCCAATTTAGCTATGTGATGGGTGGCATTTACATGTAAATCCAATGCTCTTTAAATATTATGGATAGAGACACAAAATGATACAAGTTGATTAAAAATTTGATCTGCAAAAGGGAAAAAAAAGGTATTTAAAAGCTGTATTCAACTTGGCCTTTTTAGCTAATGTGTCTGCCTTTCCCTTCCTCCTCTTCCATGTTTCAAATGTCTAAGAGCCTCTCCCAGCACAGGGTGTAAGTAGTTTTATCACAAAACTTGCCTTCTGATTTATTTGCTATTAGCTCCTGTGTTCCAGTTCTCTCCAAATTCCCAGTACGACCGCACTGCCCCCCCTTCTCCAGCAAATCAGGCTAAAAAAAGTCTTTGTACGCGCCGAGACCCAAGGGGAACAGCAGGTGGGGGGTGGTCCTGCTGCAGGGGGTGCAGACCGTACCTTAGGCCCACGCCAGATGGCCAGGGAGACGAGAAAGCAGATGAAGAAATGGAGGCCCAGAACAACGAGGTCCAGCATCTCCTCTCCTGGCTGCGCCTATGGCAACTGTCCTGCCCAGCCCGCCAGTGTCATGACGTGCCTCGTGGCCCCTCTTTACGTGCAAAGCAGGCAGCAGCGGGGCCGGCCCCTATAGAACAGAGGAAGGATGTATGGAGGCTCCGCGTGGCAGGAGCCAGCTCTGCCAGGGCTGATAAGGAGTGGGGACATGCTGGGGCTGGCCTGATAACGGGAGAAGAGAGCCCCAGGTTCCTCCCGCCGCTGTCCTCCCCGAGCGGGACGCACCAAACCAAAATGCTGCTCAGAGTCTGCGTTATGTTACGGGTTTATTCGGGACCATCAAACACATGTTTCCCAGAAAACTCTTACACCGGGAAGGCTGGTGTAAGCAACGGTGTGGCCTTTTCAGGGCCAGTTGTTTTCTGATTTGCACATGAGCAATCATAAGGACCGGCTCCCTGCTTTCCATTTTACAGAAACTTCCACCCAGTCTTACCCAGAAAGTGAAACGTCACTGCCAGACCCACAGGACGATCCAATCAGGCGTCATGCTTATTTTCTTTAGAAATAGTTAGTACGTGGTTAGTGGTTAGCAGCAAGCTCACCACAAGAACCAGAGTAGGAAATCCCCAGTTTTTCACTTTTGGGCTGACTCTGCCTGTAGATGTTCCAAATGGGCCAAAATCTTAAAATCCAGAAGCCTATAGTTAGAAATACAGAGACACCTCTAAAAAATTGTGTATCTATATACAGACACATATAAAAATACAGACACACAGAGACATATCTACACACACCAACAGACACACACGTATATATTTAATAACTAGTATTAAAATAACACTTGGCACCAAACCTCCAGCTCATTCAGTGATGATCTTTCTACACTCAGCCCGGATTTCGTACACAGAAATTATCCAGGCACCCCAGCCTGCAACCTGGGTCAGACTGCCAGTGCCTCGTGGACCCTACGTGGCCCAGCTGGTGCAATCAGTAGCCAACAGCTTCATTTCAGAGTCAAGGCTTGCTTATCTACAACCGACTGCAGATTCAGAACTGCCAGGGCACATCTTCCAGAAGAAAGCCATTGAGGCAATGTATGATTGTTGATAAGTTTAACCGAGTTTGTTAAACACGTGGCAGCAAAAGACTTTCTTCCCTTAGAAAAGGAGTGCAGTTAAGGACTCCTTATCACCAAAGACTTGTAACTAGGCTGCTGTGAGCCACTTTCTCCTCCATGAAGTGGACATGGACCTGCAAAGTACGAATAGAACGTCAGCGAACTCAACACAGAGCTGCCCAGGAGGCAGAGGAAGCTCAAGCGGAGGCCTAGAGGAGTCCTCTGAGTTAGGGACAGGACCCAGAGTAAGGGAAGGGCAATGGACACCCATGGTGAGGTTGCTTTCTCCCATCACCTTCTCCTCTGGAACCAGATAAACCAAAGCCTGCTTTCTCCTCCCTTTCTTTAAACAGGACAGAGGTGGGTGTTAGGCGCGGATCAGGAGGCAGGTGAGCGTCACTTACCCAAAGCACATTAAAATGGCAAATTTTCTGCCTGCCATCTCACAGCCCCTTGGAAAGCGCATTCTCTGTCACACTTTAAGGCGAAAGAACAACCAGTTTTTCTTGTGTTAAAGCACAGGACGACCATGTTAAATCCATCCACTCGAACAGGACATGGAGTACAACAGCCCACAGAACCCCTCTGGGTCCCATGACAGAATCCTGAGCTACCAATGGGCCACCAGAGCGGCACCTACCAATGCAAGCAGAAACATTTCAATCAAAAAAGAGAAAAGGCTGTTTCCCCCCTGCCACTTTTTAATCTACCAGATTTTTTCCAAACGTTTTCTGAAGAGTTTGGCTGCTTTGATGTTTTCTGAGACACTCCACACTGTGCTGGATGGAGGTATCCACACGGCCAGGTGCCATCTGGTGAGAGCGACGAGGGATCTACAAAAGGATTCATTTTTTGGCTGGAAACACATCCAGGTTTACGCGCCGCAGTAATTCACTGCAGTGCCCTGCTCTAACTCCTTTTCTTCCCTTTGGGGACAGGGAAAAATATCAAAAAACACCAGGTGTGGGCTGGACATGCCCCAGAGACAGGTGTGTCAGGGTGGGGAGCTGTCGGGGTGCCCCAGGTGCCACCAGCTTCTGTGGGGAGATCAGAGCAAGCAGCAACGTGACTCCCTCCCCAGCCCCTTGCCCCCCAGATCCCTCCACTCCTCCACTGCTCGCCCCAGCTGTCCTGCAGAGGATGCTCCACTGGGGTGGTCGTTCCGGGGGGTGCAGGGGGTGAGGACTCCTGCGGGGAGATGCTGCTGGTGGCAGGGGGCACAACCGACCCCCATATTGGGTGACAGCGAGCCCCGATCTTATGGCTCCGGGGAGAGCCATGCCACCGCTGCAGGGGCTCGGGGTCCCGAGCGTCGGTGGTGATGGAGGAGGATCCCCCTTCCCTGGTGGCTTCAACCTCTCCACCTCCATCCCTCAACTCCTACACCCGCCTCTTCCTCCTCTGCAGCGCCGGCACCCCGGGCACTCCTGTCCTGAGGCTGGCTGTGCATCCTGAGGAGGAGGAATGGGAGGAGACCGAGCTGCCCATGGTCTTTTAGCTTCTACCAACTTGAAGTATACATGAAAAAAAAAAAAAAAATAAAAATTTCGGGTGTGTTTCTGTGTCAAATGCATGGCCAGGAGGGCAAAAGCAGCATGGTGGCTATTGCAATGCAGAGTGCTTGAACATCATTTCCCTTCAGAGCCCAACTATGTCCTTACAAAGATGAGTATTTTGGTCATATTTTATGGATTTCATGATATCTCATTCAGAAATAAAGCCAGTCAGTCCAAGAAATCACTCTTTTTTTTTTCGGTCATTGCTGTTACTGTTTGAATCCACTAGGAAAGTATGGATGTGACTGTTTAATTTCAGGTGGGCTAGTGTACTTCTTGAGTTAATTAATTATTAGTTAATTAATTAGCTGTGCAGAAGGAGCAGGGGGTTGTAACAGCACACTACAACAGGATGTACGTGTATAAAACACATCCCTGCTTGTGGCAAAAGCCTTCTAAAAATTGTTCTATTTATTCTTGCCTGGGATATTCCAAGCAGGGAAGGCTGCCAGGCTGTACCCTTCCCAGTTAGCTCTGGTTGTAGTCACAAGTTTCCTATTACACCCACACCGCCAGCTATTTTTTGCCATGTCAACATCCCAAATTAAGTCGATCCCACGTTTTTCTGCGACATGTAGGGCTGGGTAGGAAGGACATGCAGTTTAAAGCTGGTAGCAGAGGCGTGTTGGTACCCTGCGGAAGGGATTGAAGCTGAGCGGGTGGCAGCGAGGGCTCCGTGCCGGCACACGAGAGCGGGGTGGGATGTGTTCACGGGATGCGATGGATTCCCTGTCCGAAAGTCTGAAAGAGTCTGAAAGGCTGAACACAAACCAAAAAGCGTTTAGGGTGTGATTGTGCGAAGCTGTTTCTCCCCCAAAGACCCCGGCTGTGGTTTCTGTGCTGGTACCACCCATGCGGGGAGCGGTGTGGCTGCCTGTGCCCGTTTCGGTGAAGCATTTTTAAGGGCAATGTCCATTTTCAAGGAAGCTGCCAGATGGAGCTTTTTGGGTTTTTTGGGCCTGTGTGTGCTCAGGCTCTCGCAGGGAACGAGGACAGTAAGCTGGGACAAGTCAGGGTCTTGCTGAGTTCTCAGCAGGGCTCCTCCTCACCAATTCTGGGTAACAAGTCAGGGACCCGGGGCTCCTTGATCTCGAGCTCTCGACAGCCCTTCCAGTAATCTTCAATTTCTTTTCTCAATGTCCGCTCTGGTCTGTGGGCATCACATCTCATATCAAAGCTGTCTCTTGGTGTGCCCAATAAAGGCACCAGATGTTGACAGGCAGCCATAGCCTCTCCATCTCAACAATCTTCCCCCCCCCCAATTGACTTTTCTCAGAAGGGGACACTACTCTGAAACCAGTGACCTCATCTGATGTTTTCACAAAACCTCATTACAAGAATTCGCGTCTACTCCTAATTACTGCTGCTAAGGGTCATTGGGTAAAGCTGAAACTGCCATGTAAGTGGGACTGAACTCTGTTCAGTATGAAACAAACAGTGGTGGAGCCTAAATCCCCACCCAGCACACAGAAAGGGGCTGTAAATCACATCCAGTGGCCATTTCTTCCTGCCCCCTCATCTACTGTAGGATCACACACACCTTGGCAATTCTTGACAAGTATTTTTGACTTTTAATAAATTGCAGTGACAGAGTTTAGACTGCTCAACAGGCTGTTTTAACATTTAACCACTTAAGAGTTCTTTTCTTTTTCCTTCCAAGTAGCTCAGTAGAACAGCTCTGTCTGAAAAACAAACTTTTTTTTTTTTCCCCCTCTCAGAGGCTGCATTTGCTGTACTCTTACATTCACAGCTGAGCACTTGTCAACATTTCTCTGATGGCTGAAACAAATCTAGTAGGATTCACAAGTCCCTTCTTTATATTATTTTCCTCCAGATTCTCTCATCTCTTTACACCATTCTTAAAAGACAAAGCCACAGAGCACAGACAATCACTTGAGGATTCACTAGTGTTAAGAATAAAATAATTGCCTCTTGCAGCTTACACACAACACTCCTTTAAATCACCCTTGAATGTCACTCGCTTCCTTCGCCACCACATCATGCTGTTGATTCATACTCTGCTTCTGGTTCTCTAAATCCTCCCGCCATGTAGGCTTTTTTTTTTTTTTCCCTCAGCAAAAGTGCAGCCCACAAAGCTAGATGTTCACCGTTTTAATATTTTCCCCTTTCCCTTTTGTTTTGACCTTTAACTAATCCATGATGAATTTTGCCTGATTTAAAATAATTTCTCCGGCTAATCAAGAAAACTCGGAATTTTAGCCTATCCTCAGAAGAGCCAATATCTCTCCCAGGGTGCATTTTCTCATGTTTAATAAGAAAAGAGTGCTTACTCTTGCATTCAAAGTACTTACTAAAAAAGTAGCAAACAGTACTACATCCAATTCTTACAGAACTTAATTGATCAGACTTCCTGCTTTTCACTTTTCAGTATCTATTAGAGTCTGGTTGTAGCCAGTTGCAAACCTAACACAGGAATTTTAGCTAGATTTGGTTTCCATGGCTTGCTTAAAATAAGATCAGACAGGCCATTTCCCAGGTGCATTCAAACTCTGGATTTCCCCACCAAACTATTTTCCTTATTGACTAGGCTAGTTATCCTGACAAAGACAGCAGATGACTATTTCAATGTGATTTGTCAGCAAATTCACAGTGGCAGTCTCTTACCTCTCCAGTGACCCCTAGGACCTTGTATTTACAAAAACAGCTCCCATTTTTGTCCATCGGGACTGTGGTACCTCTCCTGCCTTTGCAGGCACCTGAAGATAGGAAGAAAGGTTCAGAAGCTGATCAGGCCAACTCCTTTGGTAGTCCCAGATAAACCCCAAGAGGGTGGGTTGACCTGGCTGCATCTAATCAATAGGCTTAAACCCCCTCGAATTCCAGCCCAACCCCCTTTTCCCTTTCGCTCCCCAACGTTTCTTCAGTGTTAGTGCTGCGTAACTCCTGCTGCATGTTTGAACAACAGATTTGTTTTCCCATTAGCGGGTCAACCTTGGACGTTGCAAACCTCATTTGATTCATGTTACAATAATGCAGATGCATTAGCATAACCAACACAGAGTAACTGAATATCACCACATCCTTAATGCATGGTTTGAACTTAAATTAGCTCAGTTCTGTACCAACATGGATAGACTGTTTACTGCAAACGGAGGCAGGAAGGGGGCATAGGGGAGCTTTTGCCTTCTAACTCTTCAGAACAAAGGTTCACATGCAAATAATAAATAACTTGCAAAAGCCCAAGTTTTGCTTTTAACGAAGAAGTCACTGCTTTCTTTCTAAAGAAGTGTTTTAAGACAACCAGACACAAAAAGAAGCACTAGACTGGACATACTGACTTAGGATCCGATCACAGCCTGCTACTGGGTGGCTCACACAGTGAAAAACCCCCTGCCTCCTGACACTGCTGCTCCACCTTGCGAGCTGACATATTCCTGGGCCTTCCTGCATCATCTGGAAACCTGCCCTGGACAGCCTGTGATATAAGAACTTGTTGCAAGGAATTACGGTGAGAAGTTTGTTTCTCCAATTGTTTTTTCCATTTCACAGAGTGGGACAAAATGCACTTTTGTAAGCCCAACACTTCAGAAGTACATCCTAAAAGCTCCTCCCTTTAAAGAAAGCACTGTCCACAGAACCGACAAAATACAATTTTCCTTAGTGATTTCTTTAAATATTTTCCAGTAATTTCTTTAAACATTTGGTCCTTAAAAAAAAAGCACGCACACAAAACACATACAGTTCACAGTAATTTTATTTCATTGTTTTTACTGTATTTTACTGTATTTTAATGGATTGCATTCTGTCCAGACTGCTGGAAAGTGATCAATTTGTTTATTCTTTTCCCTCCTGAACATGCCTTCATGTGGATATATTTATTTTTTCTACTTATGCAGTCAATTTACATTACAGTTCTAAGACATTTTTTTTGTTTAAATAATTTAATCAGTGTCTGAATTTATTTTAGCAAGAATGATAATGACGTGCCACAGTGCTTGAAGGTTCTTTTAACTATTAATTTGCTCCTTGCCTAGTAGTAAGTACTACAAGGTTAGCCTTAATGTTCTGTGAACAAAAAAAATATAAATGAGCTAAAGTATTCATAATTCTAGCGTGGAAAATTGGTTACGAAATGCATGAGTGCTTAGCCATCAGAAAATACATGTATTTTCCATGTTTATTTTTACTAGCTTACTGCTGAGTATTTAATTACAGATTCCAGAAAGCATTTAGGTACGAAGTATAATATCATCCTGTATTGTTACTATAGCAGCAACAACTGTGTAGTGCTGCTACAGTTATGTTTTTCCTTAAGCGGAAAAAATAGTAGTTAAATCTTACCTTCTTCCAAACCTGCTTTTTTTGTCACATCCCTGGAAAAACGTGAAATAGTATTTTTACATTAACCTCTTCTGCAAGCTTCAATTGCATCTCCTCTGTGTACACAGTAGGTTCCAGTTCTCCACTTGCTGATGCACGTTAGAACATTTACCTGCAGAATCTAACTGCATCATGAAGACTTATGCAAGCAGTTTTCATCTTATGCTATGCAAATCACAACTACCACTTTTCAGAAAACTGCTCTACTCACAGTTTGGTCAGAGGGGTTTGTTTAGGTTTTGTTCGGGGTTTTTTCGTTTCCAATAGTGACTGGAGATCAGACTCCTCTCCATTTGCACACATGTTCAATTAGTAGCCTATCCATATTACTAAATTTTAAAGAGCACAGAGTGGTAAGTACCAGATCCAAAAGCAAAATTAGAAGGCAGATCTGGAAAGGATGGAGAGATGTATAAAACAGGAATGCTGACATAGTAAGTACCTGAATAAACTGCATCTACGTTCGGGCCAATACTAGTTGTTAACTTATTGATTATATTTTAACCACTACAGCTTCTCCAAGGTGAATGTTTATTTATTGTGGACTTACAATCCATCTTGATGTAAAGTTGGCTGCAGCACATTCCACTGTAATTGGTATCCCACTACAGTAAGTTCTGCAATCCTTGCTTTACTCTGTCCTTGGAAATGGAAATTCCTGTTGAGCTCTAACGCTAATACTCTGCATTTCTGCCACCAGCTAAATATTCTGTATGTGTAATTAGTACCTATGTATTATCCTTCCCATGTGTAATTAAGTGTTACAGAATTGTAACATGTAAAAATCTAGATTTGTTGTGCTGGGTAGTTATATAAAATGCTTCTGGCTTTCTAACACAGAGCAGTCATTGTTTGGGCATCTTTGGTTTCAGTAGCTTATATAAGACAATAATTCTAACACCTGAAATACAGCATAATATTACAAATGCAGAAAGTTTTCATATTCTCAGTCATATTACATCTAGGTTGTTTTTATTTACTTACTTTGACTAAGCCACTTGTCAATTGCATCCTCATATTTTTTTGGTTCCTTTAACCAGTCTTGATGCCACCTAAGGTTGGCAATTACATTTGAGTAATTCTGACCCAAACTTTGTTTCCAGCTGATAAACTGTCTCTTGTTATACTCCTGAACAGATGAAGAAACCTTCGGGTAGTTTACTACAGAGTGGAGTGTTTTGTCCAAGGAATGTACAACTGCTGGGAATTTCATGGCAACGTTTGTTAGCTCATCTGGATCGGCAGAAAGGTCTGGAACAAAGAAAAAGTCAATTGAATTGAGAGCCAGTTTGCATTTAAGCAACTTACTGAGCAGCGAGGCCATAAACGCTGTAGCGTACCGAACAGCTGTGGAAGCACCGAGCGGCCATCGGAGTACGCGATGTATTTCCATCTGCCCGTTCGCAGCATGTAGGTGGAGGAATTCACATTGCAGCCGTGGAACTCGCTCAGCACCCACGAGGGACGAGGTGCTCTGGGTGACACGTCGTTTTCAGCCTTCCCACGCAGGAGCGGTATGAGAGAATATCCACTGAGGTTCTGCGGGACAGGAATCCTTGCTATATCTAAGTAAAGATAGACAAAGTCAAAATGCTACTGCAGTCACTGTGATTAAAAAAAAGCTGAAGATAGTGCTACAGGTGTCTGAACGTAAATTCTATTTCAGTTATAAAACACGTATTCCTAATTATTTTCCTTGTAGACCACAGGAACCTCCCCAAACCCTTAAGGAACCAAGGTCAGCTGCCCACCATCTTGATTAAAAGCAGTATCATCTATGCTAACATTTTAACAGAAGTTAAAACTGATCTCAAGAGTCTCCAGTGATGGGTGGTGGTTTTTGATCTTTTTTAATCATGGTTTTTATGCCCTTCCCTTCTGCTCTGACTATGTCAGGCAGGAGAAAGAGACCGTCATAGCATGAAAGGACCCTAAAAGCTTTATGTCCAACAAGGCCTAACCATTCATTTCTTTGATAATAGTGGTGTTAAGATCCTGTCCAGCATTACTGATCAGCAAATAACAAAACGAAAGGTGGCCATTACAGTTATTAACTGTAACTGGTGGGGAAACTGAGGAACAGGGCCTCTTGCTTCTCTGGTAGGGCTAGAGATAAAGATGGTGTCAGAGGTGGTATCAATACACACGTGGAAAACACCAGGTGACTCTGTAGCCTAGTAGAGAGCCCCTAGAAGATGCTGTAACTAGAATAAGCTCCACAGTATCAGCCTACATCCCAAGTGTCTCTAGCTCCCCGAAATCAGGTCAATATTAAGAGGCTGCAAAGAGCTCTCAGAGACATTCTGAAAAACAAAGCTGAGAATCCCAAGGATGTTACCTAAACATGTCCTAAAACAGGGTATGATAGCACTGCTGATTTTAATCACCCTACTGAACATAGCACATATTCATGCAAAATTCAACATTTCAGAGTACCCTGGTAGTATTTTATGTTCTGTTCTATGCCAAGTGGAGATACTCAGTGTATAGAAATTGTCCGTACATAACTTTTTCCTTCATCAGCACGTATCTTCCTTTTTTTCCTCTGTTTCTACAGCATATATACCTGTCATTAATCTGCAGTTCTTCCTCTGTTAAATAAAGAGGCCATAATTTGACTGAGCACTAGAAAGACCTGCAACATGTAAAAACCAGCAGCCTCCAGTGTGTGATCTAAAAACTGGAACAAATACATACTACATTTAAACAAATGAAAAAGGGGATGCAGACCTTCCTCTTCCGTCATCCTAAACCAGTAATGCTATTAGTTGCAGTAACGGCAGTCTCCACAAGCAAAGAAAGCTCCAGGCTGGCACCTTCAGCAGCCCCTGCTTTTCCAACAGAGATTTGAAGGTACTTCCACACAGACCAACACAGACACCAGCACTGTCTGGAGGAAAGGTTATGCTACACCTTGCTAGAAAATTACTTCTGGCTGAGTTATCCTTATCCCACAGATTCTGCTGGAATCAAAACATCTGTACCACACTTCCTATAGCGTGCACCTAATCTCAAAGTCAGTAAAGGAGGAAGTATTGAGCAAAACACTTGGATGGTGCCGTCAGAGATATTATTGCACTGAGAGAACACAAAGCAAAGGGGTTACATTTATCATGAAAAAAGGCTTGAAATCTGTGTCCTCACTAGTAAACAGTATCATGTAGCCTGAAGAGATAAGAGATGACAGAGATGATCCCTCGTGTTCTCACATTGATCCTGACATATGTGCCTCTTGACATTCACACTGCAGTAAAGGGGAACTGCCAGAACAGAAGGAAAGGACTTAAAAACACAAGGTTCTGGGAATTAAAAAAAAAAAAAAGGAGGAAAAGAACAACAAGGAAGGATGTTAAACCCCCTGAGCATTTATGTAATCTGGGGAAAAGGCACAAAGAAGAAAAAAGAGATTTTTCAACTCTTTACATGCGATACCACAGCTTATATAAGAACTGTATCTAATACAGATTACTTATTATATATGAAAGATTTGATATCAGAATTTGGAAGAGAAAGCTACTCAGATTATATCCTACTTTCAGCTGGATAATTGGTTCAAAAGTTTTGAGAAGAGACAGATAAATATTGTCTGGTCTTGTTTTAGAAAGTCAACTTAAAACAACACAGAAAAGGTTTTTTCCCTGGCTTTTACTGCTAAAAGTACAATTTTATCTACTGCCTCGCATTCTCTCAGGCAATTGCAGTGTATGAAAGGCACTTCTTAAAGACCAAGCTTTGCATACCGCCTTGAAAAGAACATTTTTCTCATCAGTAGCCTAAAAAATCCCAGATAAAGCCTTGAATGGTGACTTCACCACATGCTTGGTTCCAGTGAGTTTCATCTCTTGCATGTTTTATCACAGGTAACTGTTCAAAATGCACTCTTAAAAGTAATTTCCATGCATGTGTCAGCAATTTGATGTCAGTCCTTTTTGTTTGATTCTCTGCCCCATAATGAGTGTTTCCATACCCCAGAAGGTAGGAATGGATATCCATTACTGTATCTCTTTATGCTTGCCCAGATCAATTGTACATTTCTGATACAAATTCTTTATCACATTTCTTCCACATGACCCTTCATAAAGGCCATGCCTTTGATAAGATACTGCACCTGCCATCCCTTCAGGTTTAATCTCATCTCTGGATGCATTTACACTGTAATTTTTGTAGAAACTGTTAAGTATGAAGGCTAGCAATGATTAGTCACATCTAAACCACGTCTGATTGGTTTTTATCACCTTTTTTTTTTTAATAAAAAATAATCCTACATATAATCATTTGCCGTAATTTTGTTGATGACAGTAACAGTAATAAGGAACATCATCAGCTCCTTTATTTCATTTTTATGTCCATTTTCTGTGTTTTGCGTTAGGTCCGTACGCATGCTCCACAGATAAACTGCTACCTCCTGCTGTGACACTACATTGCCTCACAATGTGGGCACCTAATTCTCACTATAATACAAACGCACAATAGTAATAGTAACTGGGAAAAAAGGTTTTTATTTGAAATTATTTCACTCACCAAGCATAGTAGGATATATATCCACGAGAGATACCACGTTTGGTATTTGCTGCTGTTCTTTTACACCTGGCCCCATGACCAAAAGAGGAACATGTGAACTTCCTTCATACATGCTCATTTTATAGAACTGCCGGTGTTCCATAGCAAGTTCTCCATGATCTGCTGTGAATACAACGACTGTTCTTTTAAGAAGCCCAGTATCTCTCAGAGCTGAAATAATCTCACCTGTAACAAGAAAATGACACTGAAAAGGATACCTTCAAAGTATTCCTTCCAACTTTCATACCTGCAAAGCAGCATGCAAATCCAATCCTAGTCAGAGGATTGGAAACTCCTCTCTCTGCTCCAGAAGGCAGAGCCCAAAGCACTCGGCCCAGAAGAACGTGTTGTAGGGGTCTGCCTCCCAGTGAAGAGTGGAGGGCACTGGCCAACAACCTTAAAAATTTCAAAAGGCAAGGAGGCACCACAGGACAAGCGGCATTTCTGCTACCGTCACTTTATTTAATTTCTAGCGTAACTAATAAAAGTCATTTCAATAGCAGTAAAAGAGATCAGCAGAAGCCCTGACACTAGATTTAGGGTGAAGGACTCCTGACAATATCCACCTTACACACAATCAGTGGAAGTTCCTCCTTCCTGTGCCCACATCCCCACAGGAGCCCTCTGCACACACATTTGCGCAGTGAAGACAGGGCCAAGATCAGTGAAGCTGGTGATTAAACAATGCATGTACACATCTTTAATGTTAAAACATTAAAGCGATTCTTGCTTAGAGAGTTAAAAATTGAAACTGCTACCAAATTAAATTGCAGTGGGATTACTCTAGTAGAAGGTGTCCCTGGCTGTGGCAGGGGGGGGGTTGGAACTAGATGATCCTCAAGGCTCCCTCCCACCCAAACCATTCTGTGACTTGCAATACTTTCATTCCCTAAAACTATCAGGCTCCTGTTGAACTCTTTTCTTTCATAAAATGTGGAAGAGTAATTCTGCATCTTTTAAAATACTTTATCATTCTAACATTGCTAAAAAGATTAGCTTATTAGTGAATTTCACATTAGAATGCAAGGAAATTCTTTCATAGTCACTTCTCACATTAAGTAATAAACAGAGCAACTTACATTATCATTTTTATGTATGTAGATCTTACAGCAAACCAGGAAGAATTCTGAATGCCTAATTCATTCATTTTTTTCTTCTTAACTTTCAGTAATATGCTGCTAAGGGAGACTTCAAAGGTAACCTTATTGTTTAGTCTATGCGTAACAGCTGCCATCCACTCTATGCATTTGAAATCAATTTCTAAGGAAATTGCTTATGCCTTAGAATTTATCTTTCCTTCCAGCTCTGCTTTGCTGGTCTGTCCCCTTCACAATTGTTTCCATTGTTTCAGTTAGCACTTAATCAAGGAGTATTTACTTCCTCTCATACAACATTTTGCTGCAGTTAATGGGCTTTTACAGAGTCTCTGACTGGTGGTTGTGATTAATTTTCAGAGCACTCTGAATTCACCTTGCAGTAGCCTTAAGAGCTACCCAGTTATTTATCATACGGACAGATTAAGCAACATCCATATGACTTACTCCCAGATCTGAATTGTGGGGTTTTTCTTCCCCAGAAGACCAGCCCTATCGGCATTTTCTTAAAAAAATCCAAACAAGAAACCCCACTGAATAATGAAACATCACCTACCCAGCATGGCATCTGTCTCCGCACACATAGCATAATAAAATGCTCTAATATTTCTCACTTCTTGCTCTGTAAATTCTCCTGTGCAATTCTTTGTGTAAGAGGAATAATAGTCTACTGGATGCATCTCTGAAAGAGAAGACCACTTGGGTATTTTAACAGCTTCATAAGTTACCTGAAAATAAGAAGAAATTAATGTTATTTAGCAACTGAATTAAACAATTCATTAAAAAAAAAATTAAAACTTTTTAGCATTAATTCACAGTTCCCAAATTGTGGTCCAGGAAACACCAGCTGCTTATCTGTTACATGGTGCTGCTGCCTCCTCCATACTTCCCCTCAGCTTCCACAGGTACTAAGTCATTTTAAGAGAGAGCTGTAAAAATCAGCTAGAAACTAGGGCTAGGAATACGTGCTTTACCAGCTGATGTCTTTTTTTAAGAGCAATACTGCAGAAAAACCTTCCAGAAGTGCACTCTAGAGTTAAGTACAGAAGTACTGGCATAGTGTCTCATTAACTAGAGGATAACTGTAAACCATATGTATCAAAAAAGATCTGGTGTTACATGAGCCTACAGAACACAGAAATTCACTTAGTCTGAGGAGGTCTCCAGGACAGTGGATGACAAGTCTTGACACCTCGCTAAAGAGAATTAATTACATTAGTCCAATTTTCTAATACTTTTCTATTTCTGCAGATGTCAATCCATTCAGGGATAAAGAAGTGTAAGATCAGTCTGAAACTAAAAAGTAGGAGCCAATCAGTTACAAATAATACTGGATTTTATATTGAAACTGGAATGCCCAGAGACATTGTGTGCTACAGTACCAGCTTTAGAGCCTCTAAGTTTGACATACACATTTAGTCTAGGCAGACATACTTGTAAGTGCTTTTTAAAGTGCTGCATTTAACAGATTTGATTACTTCTATATTGTAGATTTAAAGCACAAATTACTGCAAAGTAGGAAGATGTAATCTGTATGGAAAACTTAAGTTTATTAAATAGTAAAACCACACCTGCTGCTCTCATTTACCTCTGAAATTCTTCGCTAACAAACAGAGCTGATGCCTAGATTATGGCACAGCAACCCTGTTACCTGTGTGGCACCTTCCCGGGGCTGCAGCCGCAGCTCCACTCCTGGGCTGGCCCCAGACACAGGCAGCACTGGTTCCTGGTAATGGAGACTTAACTGTCCGAGGGGCTCCAAGCAGCACAAGACTGAAGTCGTCCCCAGAAGCATTACATCCCTCTTTGCTGGCGTAGCAATATAAGTCCCTGTGGAACCCAACCGGGTCTTGCCCCAAGGTGCAGCATGGATAACTGAGAGCTGTCTGGGAAGCTACTGACATAGTGTCTGTCCCTCCAGCACACGGTGTATCTCTGACCACCAATGCTGCTACAGCCACGTGTTCCAATACCCACAAAGTTCCACCTCCCACAACAGTCAATATTCCCTCTTGACTTATCTACCAGCTGTATTAATTCACAGAATCATTTGGGTTGGAAAAGACCTCTAAGATCATCAAGTCCAACCGTTAACCCAACACTGCCAAGCCCAGCACTAAACCCTGTCCCTATGCCACGTCTGCACGTCTGTTACACACCCCCAGGGCTGGTGACTCCACCACTCCCCTGGGCAGCCTGTTCCAACGCTTGACAACCCTTCTGGGGAAGGAATTGTTCCTAATATCCCATCTGAACCTCCCCTGGGGAAACTTGAGGCCATTTCCTCTCATCCTGTCACTTGTTTCTTGGGAAAAGAGACCAACACCTAAACAGTTGGTAAGACAGCAAGAGTTACAGTGCCCACAGGGATAAAACCCAGCTTTGTAATAGCCAAACAGACATTGCAAAATCTAAGTTTCCTTAGGCCCTATAGAAAATAGGCTGCAAGAAGAAATCACGGAAGCTAAAGTCATTTTCCTATTGCTACATAAAGTCACATTTGGGACTCCTCAATGGTATTTATGAGTTGCTTAATGGGAGCAAAATGTGTCCTTCTCCATCCACAACTCATCAGAAGACTGAACCCTTTTCTTCAGGACTACAACCTAGATATAAGGATTCACAAAGTCATAATCCTTCCATCAGTCTGTTGTAATTCACAGACAGGAAAGAAGCCACAAGCTCTGAAAAAGCCCCAGCTTGTGCAAAATAGAGGGAACCATCTGCTTAGCAACACAGGGTTTCATAAACATACCGTGTTGATACTCTGTTCTGCGTTAGCTCCCCAGTGAACAGATCATTAATTCAAGTTCTTCATATACGCACTCAAATTGCCTCATGAGATTGATCCCTGACATTTTCAAAGACTGCTTCTTCCATGGCCCAAACACAGATACATTCCAGAACAATCAGGCAATGTTCACGAAATGGTAATGTGTGGGTCACATAACTGAGTGTGTATCTGTAGTGCTGGAAAGGACTTCAGCAAACTACAGAGTTTAAGAACTCTAAGTGGATTAAGGATAACAAAAATTTGTCATGAGATGTTAATAACTCTGCCTGTGACTTGAAAAAAGGAACCCTACTTCCCAAGACATGTCTAACCTAGCAATCAGCACCTATAAAGTTTTCCTTAATATCTAAACTAGATCTTGCTTTTTGCAAATGAAGGGTTTTTTTCCCCCCATGCTCTTCGTCTCCCCACAAACTTCTCACTATTCCCAGAAGAACACATAACCCTCACTATTACAAAGAAATTCACATCTCTCAACCTTTATTTGTATATCCTTTATTATGTGTATTTTTGTTGCACTCAGGCAAAGAGATTTCACAGTGTGCCAGTAGAAAAGGCCAAATGAGTTATATAAATTGTGTATGGGTTTTTCTGAAGTAAGCATGAAGTGTTTTCAAACCTAATTCTCAGTTCTTCAGCTGCAAAGAATCTTCATGCCTTTATGCAGCGAAAGCTGTTGTAACCCATTTATATTTTTATAACACCTGGAGACCACACAAGACAGAGAAAAAGACAGAGAAAATGGATTTACTACTTCTTTGGAATGGAGAACTACCTGTTAGCTTTTCACATACAGACATAATGGGACTTTTCTGCACTCTGAAAACACCAAAAAGCTACAATAGCACGGAAAGAAGATAACAGAAAAGAGAGACTTCTGCTGTGTCTTACTACTTCATATTCTAGGTTCATACTGTAAGAAAAGTCAATCTCTCACTATAAACCTCAGACAGAATGATTACATATAGCATCATTTATAACACACAAAATGTCATAAACAATGAACTTCAGATCATTGCTGAAAAAAAGTTATAGCTAAGTATAGCAAGGATTTCACTCTCCATTTAATGCTTCTAGCCACTGAAGTCCAAATTTCTTTATTGATTCGGTGACTACTGCTAACAAACCCTTTCCTACAATAGAGAAAGTTTCTTCTATTATTTAGCCTTGAATCAGAAATCTAACATCTCATCCAAGTGCTTACTGTGTACTGAAATACCAAAACTAGGTCAGAGTTGAAAAATCATGAGGAATAAAATGCTGTTTATAGTAAGTACAGTTATAAATACATTTATATTCTTCACATACCTTTTCAAGCCAATAGGGAGATGTTAAAAATGTAGAGGATCCAAAATTTTCTCCCGCATAAGGTGATGGATATGGGTGCGGTAAATTTAGTCCCAAGTAAAGAACAAATGGTTCAGTAAGGTTAATGGCTTCTCCCTTTATCCAGTTCACGGCTTTATCAGTATTCCGCCAATCTGCTTCCATCACTCGCACATGCTTCCTATCACCAGTGAGGTTTACCATGGGTCTCCCTTCTTGGCGGAGCAGGAAGTCAACATCCCTAGTCCAGGCTTCCACACGGTTACTGAAAATATATACACAAGATATAAATATATAAATATACAAAATATATACACTGAGTGGAAAATGTGTTCTTCGCTTTTCCTCAAAATCGAGTTAAGAATTCCTGAAGAACTTCCCCTATACTTTTAGCTGCAAGCTATGTGTAATTTCTACATAAAGGGGAAATGTTATTCCATTGATCTATTCTGCATCTGTTTTACACTCAAAGCTTTAGCCATTTTTTTTCTGCTTCTGAGTCTTCCTATTTTTTTTAACTTTGTAATAAATTATTGTAACTAATTTGCTAAGTTAAGCAAGGAGGGTACGTTATGCTTGAATGATTTGTAAGTGTTAAACCATAATATCCTGCTGTCTAAAATACTGTAAAAATAGAATATGGTACCCTGTGTGGATCTGAGATGATTTGTGATCACTATAACCTATATTATAATTATGATGAATGTTTGAATATCTATGGATAAAATATAAAGTATGCTATTCGCTTGAAACAATGTAATCGTTTCTCAGAATCCCCGCCTAGAGCCAGTATGCAATCCCTTCTCACCTAGAGATAATATGTCGCCGCTTCTCGGAACCCCTCACCTAGAGATAATCTGTAACTGCTGCTTGGAGAAAAGCCGCCAAAAGATGGGATCATGAGGCTTCTAAAAGATCCAATAGGAGAAAAGTGCACCAAGAGACCAAGGCTCCGAGACTTTCAAAAGACCCCACAGGAGGAGGACAAGGACCCAAGCATCTCAAATGACCCAGTGGGGAAAGAGCAGGACAATCATCTGACGAGAGAGGATTGGTTAAAGACGGTGACAGAGAAGTATAAAAAAAACACTGTTTTTTGAACTTGTTGTGTGTGTGGCAGAGTTGTGGCTCTTCACGCACCCAGCGCTGCTTTGCCTATTGCTTCCCACCCTAAATCGATTGAACCCAAATAAAACTTTCTATATATATATATATATATTTATAAAAATTGGCTTTGTCTGATTATAACAACTTCATGTTAGAATAGTTCTTCTCACATCTACAAAACAGTATTCAGCAATAGCATCTCTATCTTGTTGACCCTGCTCCCCATTCTGCCATGAATTCACATACTATTTATCTGGTAAACAGGGGCTTAAGATTTTTGCTATTGGAAAAAGCCATGTGGGAAATAACTTGCCTGGAGAGGCTGCCTAGAAGCAGTGTTCTGGTTTTGGATTGTACTATTACAGCATTTCTAAACACTATCACTTACCAAAAAAAAAAAAAAAAAAAAAAAGACACCACTTTAATGATAATATTTTGGGAACAGATTTTCTAATATCATGACAATTGTTGCCTCTCTAAAGCCCTTAGAAATCTGAGCTGCAGATGTCCTTGTTTCTTTGCCCAGACTGAATGGCACCACAAGTGCCCTAAACAAGGGTTGGGAGTAAACAGCCCATTTAAGAGCTTGTCTAATCTTCATTTTGTTCATGGCAATTTCAATATAACAAAAGAAATGATAAAAGAAAATACTTAACTGTTCAAGGTTTGATCATATACTTTCGTCAAAACACAGAATTATTATTGTTTAAAGAGCATCTAACCAGTTTTGTCCCCACAGGAACTTTACCAGAGCACTTTAACCTCCAGAAAAACTAGTCAGAATTATCTGTAACAACTCGCTTTATTGTTTTAACTCCTTGTTTAGGCTAACACTTCTAAGGTAGACAGTCTTAAACAAATGACTTGGAACAAACAAAGGCAGCTAGATGGCCTATACATAAAGTACATTTCATAAACATTAAAACGAAAATTGCAACTATTGTCTTAATACTGACTTGGACAGAAAAAAATTATTAGGTAGGTTATAGGCCAGTCTGAGTAATCAATCAGATTGAGGTTAGGATCAACCCCCCAAAACTCAACACCCTCCAACCCAATCCCACTTCAGACCCTTTCCATATTATGGAGCAACAAAGGAGATGTTTTGACATATCAGGAAGAAAGCTAATCCCCAGGCACAAGAGGAGAAAAGTGCCAAAATAAGAATCTTCAAAAGGCCAGGTGGAGAGTTGAAAAAGGGGGCAATACTATATTCAAATCCTCAATTTAAAAGGAAAGTGCAAGGGCTCGACGGACAATTATTTAAAAGCTTCAGAAATTAATTCCACTTTTCAGATGAAGGGGGATCGTATCTCCTCTGCTAGCAGACAGTACTCCCGCAATTGTAACGAACATATAGCCAGGAAAAATAATGAATGGGAGTACAATTAAAGATAAAGCTTAGGGAACTACCATTATTATTAACCCAAGTGAAAGTAATTACATGATAGACAGTAACTACATCTATTTTAAATTTTAAGTGAAGATGGCCACCAATAGTCAAAAGGACACACGCAGTCTTTTTGACAGGAAGCAGAGGCTTCACATGTTCAACATACCAGAGGCTGAAGATACAGCTCTTCCTCTCTGTTAGTAGGTACTTCTTTGTATGCACTTCCTAGGAGCCCTCTTCCTCAAAATTCATTAATTCACAGCCATGAATAATTATCCCATGTCACATTCAAATGGATACTTAGATGATCTGTGTTAGCAGTGCACTACTTGCAATGGGTTAAGACAAAGCAGGGTCAATTTATGTCACAGAACTTAAACGTTGCAGCAGAAAAGTTAACAATTCTTTTTTTATTAGGTGAATGTGGTATCGGGGGCAGTGATGATTCTGTGGTTTAAAGAAACCACACGTTTAAGAAAAGTTCCTGAAGACAAAACTGCCCGCTGAATCCTGCACTAGCTGAGATGCTCTAGCTTCCTTTGTTAATCTCCTTTTAAACAAGAAATCAAAAGCAGGCCATTTTAATTCTCTCCACAATGAGCAGGAACTTTCATTATAACTCTTCTACACTATTTATAGATTACTTGATTGGCTACTGAGGGTTTTTTAACATCAACACAGATGCCATGCTAGTAATGAGATCTATATTTTTCTCTGAGTGAGGAATTGTATGTGCAATTTTCATTTTTTAAATTAAAAACTGTGTAAACTGCCATTTTCAAATTCTTCTTGTGTAGGAACAGAAAGGCTGACTAACCATGTGTTTATATTCATTTATTCTCAACCTCTACCCATGCTTAGTCAAATCTCAATAAGGGCTTGATCCAGTTAAGTACAGATCTCAAACACTCACTAAAGAGAAAGTTAGGAAAAAAAGTATAAAAAAATTTGCACTAGGTGAAAATACAGAATAAAGGTCTAGGACAAAAGAAAATTAAAAACTGAAACACCACAGACTTTGCAGTATTTCTCTGCTACCTTTGAAGTGCCTAAGACTTCAGCTTCATAGGATCAAGAACTGTGCAAACATGATGTGATTATATGGTTACATCGTAATTTCTGTTCATCTGACTCAAACCTGTCAGGAAAGCAGATGAAACTATACATGGCAGAATGAGAAAAAACAGAGTACATGATTGTAACTCCACTGATACTGGTGTTGCTACAGTTTTGCAAAACCCTGTGCAATCTGAATTTATTTCTCATCTGTTGTAGACCTGAAATAAAAATATTTAGAATGGTATCAGCAGAGCCATTCGTATGGGAGGGTACCAGACACAGTAAGTATGAGAGCAAGGTTAAAGTCACAGCGTGCATCGACAGCCAAGAGCACATGAGACATCAGCAAAATGGGTCAGCATGAAGAAGGGGCTCTCGGTGCTAAGATCACTGTAGAGACTACTTATCAGAAGCAACTTGATAGCAGGATGGCAACCAGGTCACTGTGTACTCTGTCTGCCATTCCAACAGAAAACCAGAACACAGTAAGATAGCCACAGTAAGTAAACGAAAAGGCTATTTGCCTAGTATTCCCAAAGACTGAAGCAAGCAAGATTTCAGGCAAAGCAACACACATTAGCAACTTTTCACTCCTAAAGAGTGTAAAATACCTGTGCAAAATGCCATTTCATCATTGCCAATCAACAGAAAAATAGGAAAGACCTCATCAGAGACATCTCTTGCCTTATCACCTGCCAGCAATCCTGTTCAGACTACCTGAACATGAATCTTAGGATTTGTGAGTATGAGGTTGTGAGTCAGCAGAGTTTATCACCAAAAGTTAAGCAACATAAAAATTATGTACCTCTTCCATACAGTCTGGCATGAAGGTTTTCTTTGCATTAACTCCTACACAATAAAATTCATTTGAGAAGTAAGCACTATCTGTTCAGCTTTGCACTCCCCACGTGAAGGCCTTTCTACTGAAGGCAGAGTTCACCTATAGGCTTCACCTCCGGCAAGACTTCTGGAATCCAGACATTTATATGCAACCAAACTTTTTTTCAGTGCCACCTTTGTGTTCCAGTTACCATGTGAACAGCCAGGAACATGAGGAATTACTTAGAGCCGCTCTTCTTTAAACCCAGAGTGACTTTAGATTAGAAATAAACAGATTTCAACATTATAAAACATTTATTCTATCTCAGTGAAGGACAGAGTGAACACATACTTCATACTACCTAGACAACACAGAATTTTCTCTGCACAAAAGCAATTAATAAGAACATTGTAAGGTCTGCCTAATAATGCAGATAATTTTCATTTTTCAGAGTAATTTTAATTTACTGAAAATCTCTTTGAGAAAGGCTTAAGAATGATGCACCCACAGAATCATTCCTGTCTTGCTTCACTACATGGAACAAAAACTGACCGCTTGCTTTCTCAAAGAATGGTCTGTTACAGGCACTTTACAGTATTCTGTTAAGACTAGGCTCTTTTGAAAAAATAGGAACACCTGAGGCAGTCACAACAAATCATCTCTACACTACAATAATATAAACATCTGTAAACATTCATGTTAAGTGTTCAGTTGTTTCTTGCCAGAGAGGAAATTCTCCCAGCATTCATATAAACAAGTATAAAGAAGGAGAATAATGCTACAGCTGATGACCTTTTAGTACATCATAGAATTGTCTCTTACTAGAAAAAAAAAAAAGTTTTAAGAATGACAAAGAATAATGTAGACTTCAGAGAAAAAGAAAATCAAAAGCAGAAGACCAGAGGTTAAATATCCACCTGTTAAAAGCAAAGTTACTAAGAAAAGCTGCAGAGACAAGAGAGAGGCATCAATAGTGCACAAATATGTACAATGCCTGGTAAACTAAGTAAACATGATGTTCTTGCTCTAAGTCTGTATCTGAATCATCTTTTATATACAGTGTAGAACTGGTATATTGAAAAAGAGAAAAAAAGCGCTTTATTTTCTTTTCTGGTAGCCTTAAAATACAGAGAAAATCATTACTTCAGCCAGATTCTGAAGTGGATACCATTTATACAGTATTTTGTAGATGAAAAGCAGTGTGTACATGCAAAATACTATTAACTACCTATGTGACCTTTCAAATTCTGATTGCTCGTTTTAGTGAGGGAAGCGAGGACATTTTAAGTATCTCTATCATCATTAATATCAAGTAAAAAGCTACTCTTTATTATTATTTCAACAACAGACATCATTACTAATCAGGGAGTGCATTGTCATAAAAACTACACAGAAGGAAGACAACGGTATTTTATCACAACTGTCCAGACATACCACGCTCATTATTTTTAGAACACAATGCAGTTAGTTTCTAAAGGTTTAACTGTTTTTCATAAATAGCAGTAATTCTAGGTTTGGTGTTTTGTTTTTTTGTTTTTATTTTTTTTTTTAAAGAAAGCTTTACGGCATAGGAAGTTAGGAAGTTCATTGGGTTTGTGTGGCAGGGGTTTGGTAGTGGGGGGGGATGCAGGGTGCCTTCTGTGAGAAGCCCGTCAGCCGCGGTGGCAGCGCCGCTGGGCAAGGGCTTTGAGAAGGGGGAAGCTGAGCAGCAGCAGGCACAGAGAGCGCTGAGAAGAGGTGCCAGAAACCCCTGGGCACAGCCGGGGCAGGGAGGGAGGAGCGGAGGAGGCGCTCCAGGCGCCCCAGCAGAGGTTCCCCTGCAGCCCGTGGGGACGAGCACGGCGAGGCGGCTGTGCCCTGCGCCCGCGGAGGCCCGCGCCGGGGCAGGGGATGTGCCCACGGGGGCTGTGACCCCGCGGGAAGCCCGCGATGGAGCAGGATCCTGGCAGGACCTGCGGCCCCACAGAGGACCCGCACTGGAGCTCACGGGGCTGCAGCCCGCGGGAAGGACTCACGTGGGAGAAGTTCGGGGAGAACTCTGCGGTGGGAGGGAGCCCACGCTGGAGCAGGGAGGAGGGTGAGGAGTCCTCCCCTGAGGAGGAAGGAGCCGCAGAGACAGCGGGCGAGGAGCTGACCACAACCCCCATCCCCATCCCCCTGCGCCACTGGGGCAGAGCAGGGAGAGAAATCGGGAGCAAAGTGAGCCCGGGAAGAGGGAGAGGTGGGGGGAAGGTGTCTGAAGATTTGGGGTTTAGTTCTCATTACCCTACTCTGATTTTGACTGGTCATAGATTAATTTTCCCAAGTCGAGTCTGTTTGCCCGTGACGGTAACTGGTGAGTGATCCCCCCCTGTCCTCATCTCAACCCAGGAGCCTTTCGTTGTATTTTTTCCCCCTCTGTGCAGTGGAGGAGGGGGCTGACAGAGTGGCTTTGGTGGGATCTGCTGTCCAGCCAGGGCCTACCCACCACAATAGCACAAGCCTATCAAAGCATACAGCCTTCCAAAAAACCCAAACACCTCATGTTTTGTGATGGTAGATTTATAATTCAAGTACTACCAATATGTTGCTTTGTTCCAATTTCCCTACACCACTAGTATAATCAAGCCAGGAAATCTCAAGGCAAGGCAAAAAACGGTTTATGAGTATCAGTCAGGGAAAAATATGAATGATCAAAAATAACCTTCATTCATCTTGGGCAAAACCACAGTCTTGATATTCACCTTTCAGCTACAGGTAAAAGCTAAAGTGCATCTGCACAGGATATGTTTGCTTCTACATAAAGTTGAAGGACAGACCCCTGCTAGGCTCCCAACCCCATTTCTTTTAAATTAAAGCTACTACCACTTCAGATACAGAAGCCATTTGCCAGATCATTACATTTCATAGCAGGAGAATCTATCTGATTACCTTACTGAATGATGTCCAGAAGTATAGTCCAACTTCCCATACTTCTGTGTGTGGTAGCCATGCCTCTCCATAAGATCCATCCATGTCACATAATCTGGATCTAGACCTTTGAAGTTATTCCAAGATTCTGTTAAATGAGTGAAAAGACCACTCCACATAGCTGGTAAAAAAAAAAAAAAAAAAGTTTTTTGACAAGTGGTACTCTCTATCTAAATGTAAGTTGAATATACTTGAGAAAGGATCAATCTTCTCATTATTTTAGAAGTAAAAAGTCCAGACTGTAATCCAGTAGAGCAGGGAATACAAAGTATTATTCTTCGAAATCCTATTTTCATCATCAATATGAATAACAACATTTACTAAAATAATCCCCTTCTTGCAGAAGAAGGTCCCATCTTTCCAGGTACTACACAATTATTAAATCAAGGTTTTCTGTAGATCAAGAATATTTTTACTGATCACAGAAAGAAAATGCCATGGTAGTACAGATCCTTATGAAACAGTCACATATTAAGATGTGTTCCAGAGTTATTACTTCCTATTATTTCAGTTAGGTTTTAATGTGAATTTAAATGTAAGTATGTTTGTAGACAGAATTAGAGTATTTTTATAAAAACCTATGTGCTCAGCCAAGAACAAAAGAAACAAAGAGTTGCTGAAGAACCATAAGGAAAGTTTTATTAGCAAATTCCTGTGTTTCTTTGCAGCTTGTCAAGAATCGTTCACTCTTCCCATGCTAACTTAGAGCCAAAGGGAGTCCTAACACTAAACTAGTCTATAAGCAATGGAAATACCCTGTAAGCACAGTGTGTCAACCCCAGCTCCATACCATGGTAATACTCCTCCTCTCCCTACTCTGAAGTCCCCCTTCCTACCATCTCTTCTAGTACCACCCCTGACACCCCCACCACAGGTGCAGGCTCAGCTCCTTGCAGGTCTCCAAGCCACTGGCTAAACAAGAGGTGACCCGCCAGTTCAGACGTGTGACACGTGTGACAACTGACCAGTGGTCACGATGACATTGATGGAGCACCTAAAACACCAAACAGAATTGACAAATTGTTGAATCATCATGCAGCTCTTCCTCACTGGGAGGACTAGCTGCTGCTTTCACAAAACTTCATAAAAATAAGTTACCTAACATGACGTTACTGTTCTCAGCAACAAAGCCTGGCTGAAAGACTCAAAAAATCAAGAAAAAGGAAACAAGACTGACGGCATGTTCATGTAATCTCATTCACTGAAAATGTGACCTTGAGAAATAGAAAAGGGGACCAAGTTATCAATAAATGGAATACTAAACACTAAATTTGGCAGCCTGTGCCTGCTGCAGTCAGGACAGGTTGCTTCTTCCAATGTATGCTTGAAAGAAAGGGGGATCTCCCTTTCAGTTCTAGATTAATTTAATTTACGTCACCTCTGGGAGGTCTTTGCAACAATGAAAAGGGCTAAAAATGTTTTAAGATGTAACCTTTGATACAAGAGCATAGCTTTCTTATAACTTCCCAGCAAATTCTGCAAGTGTGATGATTGACACAAGTAAAGAAAAATACTGAAGCATTGAATTAAAGCTACTGAAGGGCACAGTATGTATTTAACACTGTTTGGAATAAATGTAATTGGAAGGCAATGCTAACAGACACTGAATTATTAATCTGTTATTATTTAATACTTTTACCTGAGAACAGGAAAGATTTATTAACTTTGTATTGGGAAAGCAGAGTAGTTCAGAATGCAGCTTCAGCACTGCAGCAGACAACCTGATGATTTCTCTAGAAATCCTTAAGATTTTTTAAAAATACTGAAGCTTCAGTGGAGTTTGCAAAAAAATTTGGGAGGTCACACATGGTTGGAAAAAGAATTAAAAAAAGGAAGAAGCATGAGAAATGGAAAAGAGAAACAGCTCAAACATGAGAATAGTGTATAAATTCAGACATAAACCAAAAAATTGGGTCTTATTGAAAACCAAAACAAATCTCTCAGATTTAGGTCCTTTGAAATGTCCTATCATTACTACATATTCAAATTGACACACGTAGATATTTATCTGGGTTCTTGCTTGGGCCTACCTGCACGGGAAGGACAACAAATTGGAGAATTGGTGTAGGCATTGAGAAACACAGTGCCATGTCTTTTCATAAAATTTATGAAAGGCAAATCCACAGTCTGATTTCCTGGATTAAATGTCAAGCGTCCATCCTACAATGAGAGAAAAACGGTATACAAACAACATTAACCTAATGTTACCTTGAACTTGTATTACACAAATGTTGCCAATTTTACTCAGGAATAAAGTGTTACTCAGGAATAAAGTGTTTACTCAGGAATAAAGTGTTTACTCAGGAATAAAGTGTTTACTCAGGAATAAAGTGTTGAGAAGCTTTAATTAGATCACTATAAAAAGGATTACTTATGAAAAAGTGTAATGTAAAAGATAACTAGATTTCTTCATAGTAAAATTAATTCCCTTTACATATATTCTAAGCTCCAGTTCTTGCAGGAGCAGGGTCCTAACCATGACGCACCCATGGGTATGGTGAAAGATGACAAGGAGTCAGCTGAATCCTGATGCAGATGTGTGCATTGTACATATTTCTGTGAAGACAGAACTAATTCCTCATCCTTCTCCTCTTTTTAAAGGTTTATCCACACCACATCTCTGAACTTATTTTAAACTATGGACTGGAAAAGTCATCAGCAAGCTGGAAGGCTGAAATGCCATCTGTAATGTTTTCCTTTTGATACTTAATTGATCCTTCATTTTACCTGTTTCTTTAGCTAGAGGTTTTAACCAGTAACTTTAAAAAGACTCCAAATTTTGAACCTGTACTTTTACTGTACAAAATTATGATGGAGTGAAACCAGGTTTCATGTTGACTGCCCTGCTTCAGGTCACTGTCTTTTCCTGTCACTCGTATGTCTTTCCCTGCTTCAGAAAGATGTTCTAAGCTCAGCCCCTGTCTTACAGGTCAGCTTTTTGGGTGAGGAAACTGTTGACAAAGAATCTGCAGTTTTAATATATCTCCCAATCAGAGACATTACTCAGATGTTACTCCAAGTAGCCGTCCTCTGTGACAGAAACACAAACACCTTAAAGCATGGGTATGCTTAGAAGCTGTGTTTTGCACAGCATGTAGTTTGCAAGAGTGTTTAAGCAGGCAGACAAGAAGGCCAGGAGAGCACATCAAACGCCAGTTACAAATTTCACCAACTGCTGGCTCATTTGTTCCAAAGACAATGTACAAATTACCACACCAGCCTCTGCACAATAAATGCCAGCATGTAAATTCTTACCTCCAATCCATATATGGGCAGCAGACCATCTCACCAAGTCACTTTAAATTATTTTTATTTAGTGAGAATAACTCCTGTATGAGAAAGCACAGCAAAACAGCTAGAAAGTAATTGCTTGTAGCCTTGCAGTAACTTCTTTGTACCCACACGCAGCCTACCAGCACCAGCTACCTACAAAAAATGCTCTCCATGCCATACACTGAACAAGCCTCATTTGGCACAAGGGGTTCTTGGTGTCTGCTGAAGCTAACAGTCACCATTAGACATTAAGTACAAAATTGCACTGTGGTTTTCAGTGTAATCTTTTTGTTGGGTGAAAAATTTTCAAAACCATTATTTAGTGAGGTATTACTTCTTTAACAGAAAATATTCAACTGAGTGACCACTTTGCTCCTGCTGAATCAAAACCAAAAATCAGCAGGTATGACGAACATGGAGTTCCTCTCTCTTAATCCTGCATAGGTAGTTTTATTCAACTAATAAAAACTCCATGAATCCTTCAGATAGAGGCCTTTGATCATCTACTTCAAAATGTAAAGAACATGTACAGTCTCAGAGGATGCAGGACCAAGGCCTTACCTTCTGTGAAATTTCACCTTTAAATAATGGTACATTTGAAACAGGTACAAACACCTCTCAGGCATCTGAGTCATGGTGAAAACTCTGAAGATGATATTAGCTTAGAAAAAAGCAGGTAGATGAATGCATGAATTCTTAAAAGAGGTAGCCTCTACAAGTTTTTATTAAGAAAATGACTTTTTTTTTAAATTCTAAAGACTGTATTAGTTTTGAAAGGAGCTGTTTGAAACGAACATTGTACCTAACATAATATTCTCCTATATGAAACACTAGGCAAGCTTACAGGGAAAGAATAGTTTCTTTCTGTAATCAGCTTCTCAAGGACACAGATCAGACACTGTAAGACTCCATAACAACTTCTTACTGTGCTGTTCCCGAACATTAGCAGATATATTTCTGGTTTCACTTTATTGGAATTTTCAGGAATAATTTGAGAGAGGACAAAAAAAACCCTAACTCCAGACATAAGTGAGAGTAAATCTGAAGAATTTACAGTCTGTGTTACTATTGCTTCCATTACACACGATTCCTCAGGGGCAGGCACTAATTGTCCAAGTGAGAATTTATAAAGAATACTGCACATAATCAGATTGCACAGGGTTTCAGAAGGAACCCAGAAAACAGAGTTAAGCATAGCATAATTGTGCACCACAGCAGGAAATAATTCTTACAATTACTAACTATTTTAAGATTACAATTATTCAGTCACTGTTTAAAATATTTTAACCTTAGAGCATGAGCACTTTGTTACCTCACTAGCCACCCAGCCACTGTTTGTATACTAAGTCCACAACCAGAGAGTAATGTAATTTTCTTTACTCTTTAGTTCAACCCAGGGACTGCACACGCAGAAGAAAACAACTTCATTTGTTTTCTGGCAGAAAATGTTATTGGATAGCATGGCATTGTAGAAAGAATCATTCCCTTTGGAGGAGCACCTGTAGAGCTAAGTGTAGCATCCCAGCACCAGACTGCAGTGAACAACTGCACAGTAAACCGAGCCATTGGAGATCAGAGTGGGATAAAAGATTGATAAAAGGACAAACTGGAAATAGAGCTGTAATCTGCAGTATGAACTTCAACTTCGGGCTGAAAGTGCTCTTTAGAAATACTTTAGAAAGTACAGAGTGATGTGTCATCCTGTCAACAACATATTCACAAGTTTCGACAACAAAGGTACTGTTTGTCTGAACAGCTGGAGACAAGAGTTTGTTCTTCTGATACTGGACAGACAGGCAACATGTCTATCTGGGGAAAGAGTAAGCTGCTTTAACAGGCTGGGAAGGTGAAATCTCTACAGCTATTTCTGGAAATCCACTCTCCAAGAACTGTGCAGGACTTGCCGCTTTTGAAGCACCCGAGGCAATACAATTATTCTGAGTTGCAAAAGCAAGCACCGCACTGCAAGCAAAGCCTGTCACCACTCAATTAACCTCAAGTAGCAGTGTAGGAGTTGAACTGCCTACCAGCACGTTCCACCAGCAAGCCCTGTGCGAAACACAGCGCTTGGTGTGACACCGCAGCAGAAAGCTGGCTGTTCGAGCAAGAGATCACTGCTCTGGAGACCACACACAGTCCAGCATCACTGAGAGTAACAGTTCTGTCAGGCTTGACAAAAGAGGCGTTAGACTTTCACAGGCAGCATCACCCATAACAAAGGCAGGCACATTTTCTAATGAAAGCTCACACCTTTTAAGAGCCTGCATGACTTAAACTCTGTTTTTTCCAGAAAAACTGTGGTTTCAACAGTACCCAACTTTTTCTGTTCTCTACTAGTTACATAATCAAAATGGTTCATCTATTTCCGCCTTCAAGCCCATCTCATAAAAAAACTTATGCAACACAATTCTTTTAACATACTCTTCTTCACAGTCACTACAGAAATACAGTACTTTTCTAAGAACTTTGTTCTTAACTAGTTTTGTAAGAACATCAAACACGTGGGGTTTTGTCTTTAATTTTTGTAAGGGTTACCTCACTAATCCCTGTAAAACAGTCATGAAAAACATCCTGTTTACAGGACGTTAAGAAGCCTTACTAAGATTTGTCTGCAGCTTCTGCTAGCATCTGGAGACAACCTGGCTATTGACAGTCCCAGAACCTAAAAAATTATAAATTGGGCATTTTAACAGGTAAATAGTAGTTTTAGTAAAAGCTGAAAATGTGGAGAAAAATTGTCATCTCCAAACCCCACGCATTACATTGGAATGTTGAGAAAATTTTCTCAAAAGAAAATTAACAGAGAATAGAGTCAGAGGAGCTGTTGCTTTATTTTTGAAATCACAGCAAACACAGGCTTTATGAAAGGGTTTGAAGAGAATAATACATGTTTACCAAACACTTAAGAAGAATTAATCCCAAGACTGACAGGCTGCTCACAAGAAGTCAAGCACTTTTACCTGTGCAGTCAAGGATGGAATTCTGAGATGACTGGGAGCCAAGTGTTGTTTTCTCAATGGAAAACGAGAAGTGGTGAGATGTGAAAGTCCCTGGAAGTTACACCATGGAGCTTAAGTTTGATTTAACAGGAAGGAGAGCTCAGATGAGGCAAACAAAACAAGGCTTTCCCTTTCTTCTGAGCAAAACCTTCACAAAAGCATTTCCAGTATGGTGGGTAGGTAGATAAAAGCATGGCTGGAAAAGGGTGAAAAATGTGCTGTCTTTAGGTGTAAGCAAGGAAATATACTTTGTGAATGAAAAAAAAAAAATAATCTTTTCTACATGTCTGGACATTAAATTTATCAATAAATCACTACAATAAAGCTACTAGAAATTTATAAAAGCATACCTACTGGTTCCTTTATCCTTTTAGATATTTATACAACGAGTTTATTGCAATATTTGTTATACCTAATAAAAGTCTGAGTAAGTCAATATATGATGCCAAACAGCTTAACTCAAAGTAATTTCACCTGTGATTACAGAAATTCTCCATCCCATCTGCTGTGGAGACCTAATGTTTTTAGAATTTACAACGGCAAGAATAACGGGGCTTAGTGACCTTCCTTTCCGCTTTTCAAGCCAACAGAAAAGCGTTCGTTTTACACACCAGGTCTGTCCAGCTAATAGCTGCCTCGCTGCCCTCCACCGCCAGATGCGGTGAGAAGCCGTATGAACCGCAGCTGACCGCGGGAACCACCTATGCATAAGTTTCGGGCTACTGTAGCACACTGAATGAAAACACGTAGCAGACTCCTGGAAATAAAGCCGAGTTCGATTCCGAATACAAGTTATCTACTGTCTCAGCGACACGGGAGGCCTGCCCTTATTGTCCTAAGCAAGCCCTCCACCCTGTGGAGGTGGTGAAAATAACCATTCCCATTTGTGCAGGCTTGTGGCTGTAGCCGGAGCAAAGCCGCGGACAGAGCTCGCTGCCACACCCTGGGAGGTGCCACTCAGGCCAGGACAGACGAAATGCCCACGCCGAGACAGCCCCCGCCGCTGTCCCGCCCTCCCTCGCCCGTGCGGCGGCCCGGCCCCCCTCCGCCCCGGATACTCACCAAGGAGTCGCAGGTCACCAGCACCACGCTGGGCC